ATGCAAATTACATAAAAACCCAAGGAGACACTCATATATGTACATAAACATGTGATGGGATTACGGGTGATTTTTAATATTCTCTGTACCTTTCTATGTTTCTCAAAAAATAAAAACAATAAATTATATTTGCAAACGAGAAAAAGGACTTCCACTTCTGGCGGTAAAGCTGACAGATATACGCTTGTAGCCCTTTTGCTGAAAACAACAAATGCTGGGTTAAAATAAAAAGAAAACAAAAGAATCTTTTAAAAAATATATTGCTGTATTGACACAGAATACTCGGAAGGCCAAAACAAAGTAAAAATGGAAATCCAGGGAGATAAACAAATACTCAAATGTCTTTTATTCTGTGGGATATATGAAGCCTGTGAATTGACGTTCAGTTTTCACTGCCACATACAGAACTGGCAGTGGTGTGCTAGAGCCGGCTTGAGAAAGCTAACTGTATATATCTTTTCCCAACTTCACATTCAGTGACTTCACAATGGTAACTTGAAATCAGCCATAGTGTGAAACTGGAAAATATGACAAATCAGGACTTTTTTTGCCCCCAGAGAGCCAATTTCTAAATATTTACCAGCACGCTACTGAGCCCAAGGATTAAAGATAAATCCTAGGGTATAATGCAGATATGGAATCTAATTAGACTCCCTATATAAAATTGGGACCCTAAAGAGGTACATGCTTAGTGTAAGAGTGAAATAGAATTATGCCTACCCCACAGAAGGAATGCGAAAGGAAATTAGCCTGTTTCAAAACTTGATGCTGGGTGGAAGTAAAAATATCTTCCCTGAAAATTTAACCACAGGCCCACCTCATGAAAGTTTATGGATCTGGAACTCACGTTACCTATGTAGGCCACAAAGTTTTAAGCCCAAAATTTATCTGAATGTGCTCCCAGGTTGACAGTATCCCCAGGCATTTAGCAGATTCAAATGCAAATACTCTCATTAGAAACACATCTTCATCTCAGCCTCAGAAATTACCACAAATAATGAGTAAGAGCCAACACACAGGAAAATAAGGCAGCTTGAATAAGAGCGAGCAGAAACAACAGACAGCAAAATCAGAAACACATCTTCATCTCAGCCTCAGAAATTACCACAAATAATGAGTAAGAGCTAACACACAGGAAAATAAGGCAGCTTGAATAAGAGCGAGCAGAAACAACAGACAGCAAAATCAGAGCTACAAACGTTTTAAACATTAGGCTAAAAAATGTTTTAATATAGAAAATAAGTAACTTTAATATATTTAAAGAAATAAAAGAGGATTGCAAATATGAGAAAGAAGTGAGTGCTTATCAAAATGATGAAGCAAGAAACTGATGTGAGAGAAAGAAATGAAAATGAAGGTAACGGATATTAAAACTCAAGGAACAGATAAGACATAACATTAGAGACTGCTAAAGACACAATTTGCAACATCAGAAGATAGATTTGAAGAAATTACCCAAAACATAGCAAAGAGGACAAAGAAAGGGAAACTATATAAGAGGCTAACGGATGTCATGGAATGATTAAGGATACATATGCAGTTAACCTGTAAAGAAAATCATGGGAGTAATAATCATAAAATTCAGGATAATGGTTACCTTTGGGGTAAAGAGAGGCAGCGGATGCTGAAGTGCACATAGAGATTCAAATATTCTTGTAATATTTTATTTCTTTAGTTGGGTGGTAGGTATACAAATGTTCTTTTTTTTTTTTTTAGTAAAGTTTTTATCTGGGAATAATTTTAAATATACAGAAAAATTATGAATATAATATACAGAGTTCCCATATACCCCTCATCCAGTTTGCCCTACTGTTAACATCTTACATTACCATGGTACATTTGTCCAAACTAAGAAACCAACATTGGTACTAAAGTCAAGACCATTTAGATTTCACCAGTTGTAACATTAATGTCTTTTTTCTATTCTGGATTCAATCTAAGAAACCACATTGCATTTAGTTGTCATGTCTCCATGGTTTCCTCCTGTCAGTGACAAGTCTTTCCTTGTTTTTTCATGACCTTAACAATTCTGAGGAGTATTCTTAAGGTATTTTGCATAACGTCCATCAGTTTGGATTTGTCTGTTTTCCTCATGATTAGATTGAAGCTATGGGTCTGGGGAAGAATATCAAAGAGGTGAAGTTTCCTTCTCCTCACATCATCATGACCTCTCATTGGTGATGTTAACCTTGATCACTTGGTTAAAATAGTTGCTTGTCAGGTTTCTCTACTAGAAATAATAAAGTTAGTATTTTCCCCCTCTTTCAAATTCAGTTCTTCAGATGTGAATCACTAAATCTAGCCCATACCCCTTCTGTAGAGGGAACTATCTTAATGTTATTGGGAATTCTTCTGTAAGGAAGATTTATCTCATTCTCCCCATTTATTTATTTATTTGATTTATATCACTATGGACTTGTGTATATTTATTTTATAATTTGGCCTTAGTCCAAATCGCAAGCTTTATTTTGTTACTCAAATTATTCCAGCTTTGGCCATTGGGAGCTCTTTCATGTCGGCTTCTGTGTCCCTTTTGGCATGCTCCATCTTCCTTTTTTTTTTAAGAATGCCCTTGCCTTCTGACATTATAAGATACTCCAGGCTCATGTTAAATGAGTATTTTCCCTGTTCCAGCTGTGAATCAGTCATTTCTTCAAGAAGCCCTGGATCATTTTATTGGAGAATGAGATTTACAAACCTGAATCTGTGTGTTGGATGTGCTTGTTGCTACTGGGGTATCATTGCTTCTAAGCCTTCTCAGTGGATAGAGGTAGGAAATCTATATATGTATACTGATACACATATACACAGGTATCTGTAATTATTTCTGCATCCATCCATTTATATATATTAAGCTAAACATGAGTTCATACTTATATCTCCAACTGTAACCTAGTACTGCAGGATTCATTCCAGCTCTCCCCCGTTGCTTACATCCATCATCCATTTATTTATTTGTTCAACCCCAGAATATATGCAAAGTGGGTTCAGCATGGTTAACCCATACCCCTATGAGAAACAAATTTACCAGCTAGAATACAGTATTTCTACAGTGTTCTTTTGTCTTTCGCTTTACATTTTCCAGTCAAAACACCATTTTTCCAAGTTACTTAGGTCAGCCTCCCCACCCCCTCTCCTCATTCAATGAGGTTATGTCACACATTTGTAATACAATTAGATTCATTTGTCACAGTCTGCACTCCATCCTAGGATATCCAACATTTAAAAATTTGCATACATTAAAATTAACTCCTTGTTGGGCTGGCCCCGTGGTTCACTCGGGAGAGTGTGGCGTTGGTAGCACTGAGGCCGTGGGTTCGGATCCTATATGGTGATGGATGGTGCGTTCACTGGCTGAGTGTGGTGCAGACTGCACCAAGCCAAGGGTTACGATCCCCTTACCGGTCAAAAAAAACAAAAAACAAAAAAACCCAACTCCTTGTGATGTACAATTTCATGGGCTTTAACAAATGCATGGAATTATGTATCCACCACTTTAGTAACATACAAAATAGTACCATCACTCTAAAAATTGCCTTTTATATCTCCTGTACAGTCAACCACTTCCTTTCCCCATCATTTGTACTTTTAATATCTGAAGAGATTAAAAAATCAGAGTGTAAAAACTAAATATATCATGATTCTTCACAGAATAAAATTGTAAGGAGAGTTACTGCTTAAAAGGTAAACTATAGGGAGAGTTGCTGCTTAAAAGTTATTAGCATTGAGGGCTTATAATCTATCAAAATTTAGAGTTCTAGACTAGAGAACAAATATCTAAATTCCTTAATTAGCTTTTCCAGTATGTTATTTCACAATATGCAAAATTATGAGACCAGCTTCGACATTGTTCATGGTCAACTGAGTTGGGTCCTATTCCTAAACATCTATTTTGTGCATTTATAAAATATTTTCCAAGGAAGGAACCTACAAGCTTTGCTCACAAAAATGTCTGGGACTGAATTCTTAATTGTTTACTAGAGAAATATTAAAAACAAAACTACATTGTAGAGACAAAATACTACAGAAGTACCTTAGAGGCTATTCAATTTGCTATATCAATTATATGATTATTAAGTCTTAATAGATGTGCTATGATAGCTGCCCAGTTTCATAGACCTAAAGCATTCAATTTCAGAAGAACAGCTCCTTAAGCAGATCGACAAGTAAGAGAAAAATAATGAACATCTTCAGGTCGCTTATTTGTACTCCCCCCAAAATCACCAGAGTAAGGATGTTTGCATTTTATTTACATTTAATAGGTGTTAAGTCTACAGTTTCTCATACAACTTGAAAATCATGTCCGAACAGGCAGCTTCATCTGGGGGAAGTGGTTAACTATATAGGTCTAAGCTATACAATCTACTTGCTGACAGTATCGTCATCAGTTAAGGACTTTAAGATTTTAGCTTCCTCCCCCCCGGTGGTAGGATCTGGCTTGATAACTTAAAAAAATATATATATTCAGATAGCATCTTCAAGTTTATAGCTGTTACAGTCAATATAGGTAAGCAATTTTGGGATTTAAATGAAATAGAAGCAGATTTCAAAACCCTTTTAATGGAAGCACTTGCCTCCTATAGTTCTCCTTTTTTCCCAAAATGCAATTACAGCCATTACATCATTATAAATTACACGCTGGGGTTATCTCAGTAGGTATCTGCCAAATGTAAAACTTATAGAAGGTCTTCAATGTAATAATGATGTTTTATCATTTTAATTACAAACTCTTTAAAAAACTCCCTAAAGTATACCAATTGGGGTGGTCTAAATTAACAGTATCTTGGTAGCCCAAGGGCTGTGAAAATAGATTGAACTACCAAATTTCATCATACTTACAGCAGCTGTCTTCCTGCCTCTAGGAAGCTAAGTATTTAACAAAGCAGACAGCTTGGCACTGGCATCTGATTAGCAGGGTGTGTATTGTCAGATAGAAGGTGCTCAGCTCTTTTGTTCCTGGGTTTGATTAGAAATCTGGAGAGCAGTGGCATTACATAACTTTAAATTAAAGCTTCTGAAAGGTAAACAACTAGTGGTGCTTCCTCTGGAACTGTACCTGATAGACCGATAGATGATATTCTAGTAATACGCTTTATCAAACCCTAGAAAATTCAAATAGAAAAAATGTTTGAAAAATACCTCAAAGGTTGAAACAGGCCAATCTTAAAATCATCTTAGTTACATATTTTAAACATAAAAATATTTTTGCAATACAGTACTTTGAGTCATATAGAACACTGTAATTAAGATATTGTTGGTAGCAAGAAAGAATGGTCATTTTAGAGTGTGTAAATACAAGATTCTATTCTTAAAAATATCAGTACTGTAAATGAAGATTCAATTTTTTTCTAAACTTGTATGAAAATCTTGCTGGAAAAATAACACTGTCTTGTAAGAATATTATTATTTTGATACAAGTGCCCAAACATTAAACTATAAAAGGGTAACTCTCATTACCTTTTGCCCACAAATTTCTTTGCAAATTTATTACAAATGATTGTGCCTATTGACAGAATTCAAAATCAGTAGAGTCCATGCAAACATCTACTTCAGTGAGAAGTACATTCTTTTACTCTATCAAATCCATCGGAGGTAATCAGAATGGATGTTTTATTCAACAGGGCTGAAGAAAATTGTTCTACAATAGGTTAATTCAAAATGGCAGCATAGAAAATGCATCTGTCAGTGGGGATCAAATTACAGGGCAAGCTCCTCTCAATGCTTAGAAAAACAAGTCTGCAGTTCTACAGATTATGTGCCTGTGTGTGTTTAAAGGGGTGGGAAAGGAGCTAAATATCTGAGCTAACCTCCAATTAAAGTCAATCATAAAAACAGCCAATTTAATGAGTGCGGATTTCTTTGGGTAATTATAACACCAACCACTTTTTTCTCTTTTAAATCTGTAATTCTGCCTTCTTGTTATTGCTTGCTTTGTCATTAATCGCCTCAGGACCTTGATTTCCTAGCAACAGACTGCCACCAAACATTTGGCTCCAGTTCAACATTTTCTTTGTGAAAAATGGCACTGCTGTTGCCGCCTGGGCCGCTGCAGCTAGACTGGCTGTGTAAGTGCTCTAATAATGTATTCCACTGGAAAAAAAAAAAAAAATCACATGATACAGGGTGCAATGACTGAGCTCAGTTAATTACTAAGCTGGGAAGTTTATCTACAATCTAAAAGCTGTGTTGGGAGAAAGGGGACCAGAAAGATTAAAAAGGTGTTCCTTCCATTATCAATAATTTGCAGGTGAGAATTTACAAAGAAATATTTTATTCTTGGGTGTACAAGTTTCTGTTTAAGTTTATTTAGGAAAGGGTACAAAAGGCCAATATTGCTAAAATGTCACTTGACAAATTCTTTCTCTACAAAATAGCCCCAAACACACAAAAGAATCACAGAACAGTTTGCTGCAATTTTAAAAAGCAAATTAACCTACGCATCTGTCAGTCGTTTCTTTTCTACTTAAGGCAAAAATCACTTATATATATAAATATGCTATGAGATGACACAATGAGATTTCATTCACAACATGAACACGAGACAATAAAAAAAAAGAATAATTCAAAATATTGTGTTGTGATGTACTGTATACTTAAATAAGTAATAATCCATACTAAGGGAAAAAAGATGCTTATCATTATTTTTGAAATGATTCAAGTGATTAAAGGAAATCAGGCTTCCTGATTAGAAAACAAGTAATAAGGTAGGTTTTTTTGTTTCTGTTTTTTTTTACTGGGTATACTTATTGAGATTTTCCATGCCTTAGAAACACTACCACCCCCCATAATGACAGTTACAGAAATTAACATGGCATGTCAGATATGGTTCGCTTATGCGTTGCACTAGTTCTCAGAAATATGGCTTTATAAGACTGGCATGTTTCAGGATTGCTGTCAGGATATGATAATTTAATATACCCAAGAGAACACTAAGTATTATGGAAGCATCTGTGAAACTAATAAGCCAGTGGACATTCTGATTCTTATCGATGTCTACATACTGTATAGGAAACTTACTACAAAGTACCGTCCCAATTCAGCTCATTTGAGGAGGCGAAAATGTTACAGTCTACCTTAAAACATCACAATCATCACCCTGACAGACTGAAATAAAAATGAAATTAGGGAACATCTATAAAGGAGCACTAAGCATTAAAAAGTCTTTGGTTATATTCACACGTAGTTAAAATACACAGATATTCTTAAAAGACAGCCAATGAGTTAAAGATATTGGAATGGTTTTAAAGGATTCTGCTCTACTGGCACTAAGCCATGTAACTTCACCATTGAGTCTGATTCCCCATCTTAATATAATTTTACAAAAAAACAATTCTTGGTTGATATAAGAAAGCAAATATATATTCACAATCAGAAAAGTTTTAGAAATAGAGTTCAAAATGCAGAAAAGATTAAAAACCACTATACAAAACATATCACTCTACCTGAGAAATGTTAGTTGACATTCATAAATAAAATAATATTTTAAAGATTCAATTTAGTTTATTATAGCTTTCAAATTAAATAAGTGTTAAACTTACAAGAAACTACATATATGTGAAAAAAATTATTTTTGAGGGATAAAGAATGGAATATACAGTGCTGGTTTACTTTATTACATGTGCATCTTTCTGGAAAAAATTTGGGTGGGTTATTCTGCATTTGATATTTTGTTTGATTGTTACTGTTTCTGTCATGTCCCTTAAAAGTGCTGGTTTACTTTATTACATGTGCATCTTTCTGGAAAAAATTTTGGTGGGTTATTCTGCATTTGATATTTTGTTTGATTGTTACTGTTTCTGTCATGTCCCTTAAATTTAAAAATAGTATGAGAGTACTTCAAAAAGTTCATGGAAAAATAGAATTAAAAGAGAATATGAATCTTTCCATGAACTTTTGAAGCACTCTTGTATAATATAATACAAGGTGGTCTTAAATTCTTTATAGAATGAAGACAGAAATAAATACTTTGAAAGATGAATACACAAAATGAGTAGTCAGGATAGCAGAACTGAACAGGGTTGGAAGACTGGGCAGAAATGAGATGTTTGGGGTTGGGTGTTATAGGAGAAGATTGGACAGAGTAACAGAGAAAAGTATTCAGGTGCTATCACAAATGTGTACTAGAAATTTGTACAGAGGACAAGAGGAATGCAATTTGGAAAAGAAAGAATTTATCTTCTAAACATCTTCAACATTTAGGATTTGCTGATATCAGGACAACATTAGTGAAAAAGATAATATGAATATGTTCTATTCATATTATTATTAGAAGTTATTTCCAGCAGAAGAGAAAAAAACCACACGATAGGCTCAGGAGGTTAGAATCAAAAGAGTCCTATTATACAGATGAGAAATCCATATTGTTCTAAAAATGGATAACAGTAAATATGAACTTATATCAAGAACTTGCCTTCCTGGGTAAGTACTGAAAAGGAAGAAGGCTGTTTTCTCATTTTCTCATCCCACTTTACCAAACATAAATTAAGAAAAAAAACTTCATCTACCACATGTCATCCACCCAAATCAGAAAAAATAATTGATATTCCAAAGAAGGACTGACTCCAAAATATGGTAACATTACATAAAGAAGAAATAAATGACAACAAAGCTTACATAAAGAAGAAACAAATGACAACAAAGCTTAAAAGACCCTCTTTAGAACACCTGCAAGAGAAATAAGAACAAGAGATCAAAATAGACTTATTATGACTTCCATTACATATGTCAACAAAGACATAATTTCATTATTTGTCTTATTAGAAACAATTGTATCATTTATAACCATAATACCTGTATATCATTGAAACTATTAGGAGAGATGTGAATATAAGATCAAACCCAGGGGTCATGGAGAATTATTGCTAATGAGTGCAATGTTTCCTTCTGTGGTGATATGAATATTCTAAAACTAGATTACAGTGATGGTTGCAGAACTCTGTAAATACAATGATGACCACTGAATTGTTTACTTTAAATGGGTGAACTCAATGGTACATAAATACCTCAGTAAAGCTGTTAAAAAAAGATTCAATTCAATTTTATTCATCTGGCAGAATAGAGACAACAGAACATATGGGTTAAATCATATTAAACTATAAAGATTCTATAATAGGTTCAGTAACTACATTGGAATACAGATACACTTCTACAGATACTTGATTGTTTATGTCCAGTTTATATACAATTTCAAAGATATAAAAACTAGCACATAAAAATGTGCACTGCCATCATAATGTTTATAAATTTCCCCTCTCTTAATCATGTTTATTAAAGAGATTCAGTAAACATTTCATTTTCTCAAGGAATTGCTGATTGGTCTGAAATACACGAATAAGGTAAACAGAAGTAAAAACATCTCAGTAGACGATCTGTTAATTTATTTGGGGCTCTGTATCATGGCCTACTGTCTTAACAACTAAGTTCTATACATATGCTTATTTTCTTACCATTCTGAGGCAATTAGCACATAGTGTGGTTTCCAATCTCACATAAAATTCCAAGACTTCATTATAATGCCACAAGTCCACAACACAAAATCTTCCAATCTATCGTTAGGGCTCTAAGGTTCTACAACTAACACTATTTTATTTCTAAGTAAATAAAAAGATTATTTTGTTTAATGAAAAATGGCATTACTTTAATATTCCCAAAGATTTCCCCTCACTCTAGGTAGAGAGTTTTACTTTTGATAGCTGCCAAAAATAAGACTTAAGAAAAATTACAAGAATATAGGAGCAAATTGCCCAATTTGGAGAAAATCTTTATCTATAAAAATCATAAAGCATTACTCTAAAAAATGATACCGTCAGAATTTAACCTGCTGAAAAAAAAACAATTTTAGAGAATTTGGAAATGAATACAAATAGGATTTCTATAATCAAACTGTCATTTGAAAATTTTTCTAGCAAGAATCAAAAATTATCCTGATTGTTAAAGAACAAAATTACAACAAGTTTAAATATCTTAATTGGCTTTACTGAGATTCTAGAATCGGGCGACACACGTTATTCCATAAACTAGAATAAGTGTCCCAATAAACCAAGCAGAGGAGGTTGGTTATATAGACAGAAAAAGGCAAAAGAAAACAGAAATAAAGAACAAA